TACTATGGCCACACGTTGGTCGCGTTTGCTCTCAACGATGGATAAAAACAATCCATCCTGTGATTGGTCGCATCAAATTGTTCGCTTTGATTGGTTCTTTTCATAAAATCATTTGGGGATGACATCTGCATTGTTATTATTATTTGGGAATGTGCCTTTTTTGTAATTTTCACAAATATTTGTATTAAAACAAAAATAAAAATTACTAATTACTAATTATATATTAATAAATTTATTTAAATATAAAAAATTAATAATTAAATAATTAATGGGTTAACCGTTCTGTAAAGCAGATAATTTTCCATCATTTGTAAGTCCATACGCACACAAGAATATTGTGCTTTACAGAAATACGCAAACCCGATACAAAATGTGACCGATCGGGCCTGTGTAACATCTTTGTCTCTATTCTAAATTAAGAGAATATAAAGAAAATATTTTGATATTTCCGAATATAGATGTATATAATGTTATCTATAAATGCGAATTATTATTTCGCAAAAATAAAACTAACTTACTTAGTAATAAATTAAAAGTTAATGATTTTATAAATACGTTTTTAGACGAACATCCTGTAAGTTTCATTCCTTCGTGTCACAATATCGGTTATAAACTAATAAAAAACTTTGTTATTACAAGAATTCATTTTTCATTAAAAAAGATAAGCAATGATCTTAAAAAAGCGGATAATTATAGCAGCAGAAGTGTTGCGATGAAAATGTCTGTAGCCAATAAAAAGTGTAAATAAAAATACTTTTTATATAATTTATGGTTTTATATTCTTCTGCTACAAAATTCCTACAAAAAATTGGATTATAATACATTTTATACAATTGAAATTGCCGCGTAGCGTGGAGTCAAAATGGCGGCTTTTTCTCCCTAAATGCGGTACTTTGTAATCTAGTGACTTTAACGTAGCCTAGACAGCCTAGTGACGTCGCAAGCGTGCGCGGGAGGGGGGAACGCGGCGGCGGTGAGATCAGGTGAAATTTATTGAGTTGTAGTCGATGAATCGCGACGCCTGAGCGTGAGGCTTCGCACACCGGGGGCAAAGGGAAAGAATAACAGTCGGGCCGACGTCGTCGAGATGGGCGACAGCGAGCAGAAGGCGTTGCAGCTGGTGGCGGAGGCCGAGAGGAAGCTGTCGTCGTCGAAGGGCTTCTTCGGCGCCCTGTTCGGGTGAGCGACCATCGATTTGTCACTTGAACTCGCCCGATCGCGAACGCGTGTACTTCCCCCTCCCTCCCGTCCCGCTCCTGTTCTTCTGCGTCGTTTGATACGCGGGTCGCGGAGTCGCGCGACATCCCCGGCGCTCGAGCGCCGCGATATCGCGGCTCCGTCGACCTCTACGTCGCACCGACGATCGCCCCGTGCATGCGTACGCCGCGTGTGGCTGCGGTGTCAATACGTGTACATCCGCGGACGTTATCTCCGTCCGGCGCGATTGTACCTTTCCGCGCCGCACGCGCGTCGTCTCGCTGGAAATCGCGAACCCGTCGACCACGTCCTCGACTGACCGATCCTATCGTGTCCGTCGAAGGGTAGCAAAGTCCACCACGTTGGTACTCAACATTGTGACAGAGCGATGTTCAACTTTGCAGGAGCTCGTCCAAGGTCGAGGAGGCGGTGGAATGTTACCAGCGTGCGGCGAACTTGTTCAAGATGGCAAAGAAGTGGAGCTCGGCGGGGAAGGCGTTCTACGACGCGGCAGATTTACATGGGAAGGCGGGCAGTCGTCATGACGCGGCTAACAATTACGTCGACGCTGCCAACTGCTTCAAAAAGTCCGATACGAATGGTAGCTTGTAGAAATAAGTTGGAGTCGTGAGGAGAGAATCCGCATGATTACCGCGTGATTAATGTACCCTCGCTTTGGCTGTCCCTGCAGAGGCAATCAGCTGCCTGTTGAAGGCCATCGAGATCTACACCGACATGGGCCGATTCACGATGGCGGCCAAGCACCATCAGAGCATAGCCGAGATCTACGAGAGCGAGGCGGTCGACTTGGAGCGCGCGGTGCATCATTACGAGCAGGCCGCGGACTACTTCCGCGGCGAGGAAAGTAACTCCTCCGCGAACAAGTGTCTTCTGAAAGTCGCGCAGTACGCCGCGCAACTTGAGAATTACGATAAAGCCATTCAGATCTACGAGCAGGTAAAAGTCGAGGGCATCTGTCGCGCGACTCGGCGAGTCACAAGTATCTGTGATTCTCCATCGGTCTGAGCGCGAATGTCTTTGTACCGTCATTTCTATTCATCTTGCAGGTCGCTTCCGCGTCATTAGAGAGTTCTTTACTGAAGTACAGCGCCAAGGAGTACTTCTTCCGCGCTGCGCTGTGCCACCTGTGCGTGGACTCGTTGAACGCCCAGCACGCGATCGAGCGCTATCAGGAGCAGTATCCCGCTTTCCAGGACGCCAGAGAATACAAACTGGTGAAGGTACGTTTTCCAAGCTAACTTTGTCGCCTCCGACCACTTCTCTTCTCTTTCTATGTATACCGTTTGATAATTTGTTGAATGTTGTACATCTGTAGACGTTGATAGAGCATTTGGAGGATCAGAATCTAGAAGGTTACACAGAAGCGGTGAAGGAATACGATTCAATTTCAAGATTGGATCAGTGGTACACGACAGTATTGTTACGTATAAAAAAGCAAATTAACGATAATCCGGATCTACGCTGATCAGTTGTTCCCCATTTGCGTTATTTCCCGGCAACGATATTATTCCCAGACCATGCGTATTCGTTATTGAGCCACGCTCTACCCTCAGTGGAAACTATAAGTAGTTTCGTTTTTATATTCGAGTGTAATATCGTCCGTATTGTCATGGCTCCCTCTCTGCTTTCGGTAATTTTCCCCATTGGCCCGTACGTCTTTTAAATCGTTAAAGAGTATCCATGAAATCACGTGCAGAATCGCGGTATGCAAGAATGTGAGAAACGATTATTTCGTACGTCGTAATCCTCATAATTACGTTTTTTTTTTTTCTTAATAATGAAATAGTCTTACCGTCACATATATCGGCGAGTATGTTGTACTGAGAATTGTTTGTTGTTGTCAAGTAATAGCGCCTACAATCTTTATTTCCCTTACCTTGTGTACTATGTAAATTTCGTCCCCTTTCAAAAATCGATACTCTTGTTACGAACCAAGATTATTATAGACTTGAGGATCAAAAGCCTAAGTAACAAACTACAAAAAGCATACTGGAGCGATAAATTTCTTCTTTCCCAACGTGGTATAATTTTACAAGAAACGTTTTTCAATTATGTTCTCCTCACTTGTTTAATAAAGCAAGGAGCGCAAGTGCTGTATATTATTTCAATGTACATACAATCTATTTATTGAAAGCGTAACTTTCCTTTGTTTCTTCAAAATACGACTGTTGATTGCAATCTCTTCTCTTCTCTCCCCTCTGCTTTTTCCAATATTTTACGGCGAAGGAATTACGATCAAATATGACCGTCGTCATTTGTCACTCTTGCACTGCCAAAGTATTAAGGTAACGAGTGTAGTGTACGTCTAATTTGGTACAGTTCACGGTTCTCTTTTTCGTTCACCTCCCTTCCCCATTTTTCTCGTCTTTTCTGTTTCTTGAATTCGTCTTAGGCTGATGGCAGAGAACAATCCGTAAACGCTTAAGACTGTCTCAGTCGTAGGCGTAGGGCAAGGCAGAGAGAAACGTAAGTCGTATACAATAGCCTTTCACGACTTACGTTTCTCTCTGCCTTGCCCTGCGCCTACGACTGAGACAATCTTAAGCGTTTACAATCGTTCTCTGCCATCGGCCTTACTTTTGGAAACACAGCTGCTATTTGTATAGGTTCACAGCTTTAAGTCGAGTGACTACTATTAGCGCAACACAACGCATATTCCTTCCCGACATCGATCTAAAGATACACGTCGATATACCCCGTCACACGAATGTTCTCCGCAATAATGTAGTGCTATATCTAATCTAATTAGTACTTATCGCCTACGGATAAGCGTACTCCTACAGAGGAAAAAAAGAGAGACAAGCGGACAGGGAACACGATCGCGAAGTGCATTTACAGTTGGAATACCGTAACGATTGCGTATGCGGAATTTGAGTTTGTAGATTCCTCTGCGTTCACGCTGTTGCCGCTCGTTCGTTCCGCCGACGTATCATTTGTGATCGGTACAATATTACATAATTTTAACACAGTACGTTATCGCCAACGTCACCTTGTTTCACCATCGATTCCTGTAAGGGGCGTAGAACATTAATGTTAACGTTACGAAAAGATCTCGAGGATATATTATTGTCGTAACTGCGAGGGGCGCGACGTCCCGGGCGTAGTATCTATAATTTAGCGGACGCTCGAAATTGATTTAACCACGGTCGCGTTAAGAGTCTTTGCATTTTATATAAGAGCATCGTATATAAATAATATACATAAATATATTGGTACGATATATTTCAGTGACACGATACAATTCCGCTGTTAACTAGGAATAGAAAGGATTAACTGCATGCACGCGATTAAACGGAACATGCACCTAGCGTAAGCATATGTATACTTATTTGAAAAAGAGAAATGGGGACGCACGTATAATAAAAACTTCAAACTCTACACCCACAATGCGCAGTTGTCCTCCGGAGGAGACGAGGTGGAAGCCAGACGGAAGTTGTTGTACAGGTCTAACGCGATAAGAGGGGAAAGGCGGCGAAATGTTACTTGCGCTATCCACGCAATAATCCACCTTGTTTAGTACGTAGGCCGCTGGCGCATCATACGTTTCGCCTGAACGTTACGCGCTGAATTACACGGGGTTTCAAAACGGTGTCGATGTACCCGCACGAGAGATGACAAGTCGCGCTTGTAAGTGACAGACGCGTCGACGGCTCATTTTGTTCCCCGTACAATTAATTGTGTATGCTTCCACACGTAACTTTAGGAAGGCACTGTGCATCGTTTTATAGTCCGATGGAGCGACGCGAGTCGATGTCAAAGCCGGGATGCTAAAATACCGTGATTTACTTTGCGTGATGTTTAATTAACACCGATTGTTACGCGCGTTAACGGATCAAGAGAAATTTGCCACTCGAGAATATAATTGTATTCTATATAATTTATATTAGAATTTATATCAGGATTACGTAGTATGTTTTATATATTTTGCCGTACGTTACAGTATGTTTATCCTTGTTACTTGAATTTTTATAACGTATATATGTTGGGATACGTCGTTGATTTTTATTTCTTGTTAATTGTCCCATAGTTAAGGCGATGCCGCGCGCGCAAAACGAAGTTTGTATAATTTGTAATTACAAATGTAATTGCGAGACGAGACAGGTTTCTTACGTTTCTCCTTTCCTTCTCTTATACGAAACGGTTAATTTATTTGCTTGCGTGTATATGTACAATATGTCTCTTTAAATTTCCCGTTTGTGCTTGTTACTGTACACAGACGATAAGTTGAATTTTACTTGTAATACTTGAATGTGTAACCAGTCGATGCTAGTATCTAGTATACATTCTATACTATACATCCTACTAAGAAATAAAGTATACGTAGCGATTAAATTTTGTCCAGCGTAACAACACGTTAAAAAAAAATCTACATAGGACTTTATCGTTAGGAAATAATACGCCTAATAATTGCTGCGTACACGGGAGGAGAAGATGTGCGCTGTCGCAAAGGGAGACGTCACGTTTATACGATATTTCGAGGACATTAAGACAGTCGAGTTTAATTTCAAAATCTGCTGAAGCAATTACATGTATCATTTTAGACCTAGCCGCAATTTTCAAAAATAAATATGGTATGGTACAAATGTAATCCAATTTATTTCTACGAATTTCCGTTGTAGAAAGATTTTACATCCAGATATCTGGGTTTTTCCTTTTTTTGTAAGAATCGTTTAGCAAGATGTGATAACAGCGAAGTAACGCAACGTTTCACTAGATTATTTTATCAACGCTCGTTATTCACAAATTACAAAGTGCACGTATGACGAAGCGCTTTGTTCTAATGGCGCATGCGCAAAACGAAATTATTGTGCGCGGAAAACTGGCGATACCGCTTCTCGATGGGTTTTGGAACGCAGCGAAAGCTCGAGGCACCGCTAATGAGCTTTTGTAAATGCAATTCCATACAGACGCGCGCTGTAATTATTGTCAAACTAACGATATCTTCTTTGCCGATTTCGTTAATTTTTCCCGAAAATTCCAAAAATCCCGCTCGTCGACTGTCGCGACTGCAGTGCCGCGCGGCGCGAGCAGAAGGAATTACGAGCGCATGGTTGGCGCGGCTGCTCCGCGAGGGGTCGCCGTGGTTCCCCTGGCGATCCTTGAAAATTCAAAAGCGAGGGAAACGTCAGTTACCGGCCGGTGCCGCGAAACGTGTCGCTGGTGGGATTTCGGAGTCGCGGCGAGTCGAGCGATCCTCGTCCGGCGTTTTTCCTCGCGCCTGCCGCATCTCAGGACCGTGCCTCCGTTATTCGTGCATTTAGATTTAACGTGAGTGCGAATGGGGTAATTGAGAGAACTCTGGACGACAGCAAATGCTGACGAGCGCCTGCGAGAGAGACCCGCTCCAATAATTCCTGCTCCTTCTGTTCGTCCGAGACGGCGTGTCGTTTCCCTCCACCTTGTCTTCAAGTCTCAACTTTTTCCCTGTAATTTTACATGAATGTATTCGTGTGAAAATACCGCCCGCGTATCGAGTTTACCCTCCAACGAATATAATTTTCTTCCACTAATTTTCAGATATGAGAGAGAATCGATCTTGAAGACCCATCGTCTTTGCATTTGTTATTGTTGTTTAAACGGGCGGGGAGAGAATTTTGTTATCAATTCTTTGACTCGCTAATTTGGTCTGCCAGTAATTTTCCCGTTCTATTCGCAGCGGGTAGTTTCGACTTGCGACTAGCGACAGACTGGTAATTTATCCGTTGTCATTTTTTTTCAGTAACATAGATATCGTACAACATATTGGCCATAATGAACTTTGAGTTTAAAAACCTACCATCGGCCATACCCCCCGAATACAAAGAGGCTGTTCAAAGCACGTCGCGAAAGATGCTGGATCACATTGGCAGAAGGGGCAAGAGGTACGAGCGCGAATATAAACGTAGTTGCATTAAGTACACGAGATTATATAAAGCTTCTAATAAGTAATCAACCTACGGTAGAATTTTGTAAGCATTAAGTATCCTCGCGCTAAATGTGTACAATGTCGGCTGATTTTAAATTTATCCATTGAATTACGTGGAATGAGACATTTAACACTTGACTCTGCTAGACAAGTGCACTTCCGGATGTTTGTATAATTTTCTCTGCTTGTACCAAAGTTACGTATGGAGCTTGGATGATTTCGAAATCGGCTCGCCGCTGGGAAGAGGAAAATTCGGTCGCGTGTACCTGGCCAGGGAGAAGACGTCTCAGTACATGGTTGCCCTGAAGACGTTGTACAAGGTTGAGCTGGTGAAAGGACGCGTGGAGAAGCAAGTGATGCGGGAAATTGAAATACAGTCGCACTTGAGGTACGCGTCCGTCTACGCCGCGTTTCGAGAAGTATACGAATGTTTAAGACACACGACTTCGCGTGCACATCTTGTTCACACGTTGTTTCCAGACATCCAAATATTCTTCAACTGTTAACATACTTTTACGACAACAAGAGGATCTATCTGGTGTTGGAGTTCGCCGCGAGAGGTGAACTGTACAAGGAATTGAAGCGTCAACCAAACGAGAGATTCAGCGAGCATCTGTACGTATTTGTAATCCCACGCGCTCGTCCTTGTTACAATTATTTAAAAAAAACTATTCCAACATCCTGCCAGATCTGCCAAGTACACTTACCAAGTGGCCGACGCTCTCGAGTACTGTCACAGGCACAACGTGATTCACCGAGACATAAAGCCGGAGAATCTGTTGCTCACGTATAACGGAGATATAAAGCTCGCAGATTTTGGCTGGTCCGTACACGCGCCGTCCTCAAAGTAAGCGCGAAACTCGTGCCCTCTCGTTCTCTCAATAGCTAGATATTTTGTGCGACATTGTTATAATTTTTTAACTGACAATTTAATCTTGCCTGAAAATGTGAGCCAGATTGAATTTTATTCTTTCAGGCGGGACACGTTGTGCGGAACATTGGATTATTTGCCACCCGAGATGGTAATGGGACAGACGTATGATTTCTACGTTGACCATTGGTGCTTAGGAATTCTCTGCTACGAGTTTCTCACGGGGCAGCCGCCTTTCTTAAGTGGCTCCACGCAAGAAACGTACGCGAAGATAAAGACAATAAATGTACAGTGGCCAGAACAAATTAAACCTGCGGCCAAAGATCTTATATCCAAGGTGACACTTACGCCTTGCATCTCTTTGTTATAGCGAATTCGGCAGCTTCCACTAGTGCGCACTAAAGCTTGTTTGCGGTCAATTCTTATATTTAAGGATCGTCTTAAATGCGTTTTTAATTACTTCTTAGACAGTAAAATAATCTGTTTAGCATTCACACGGATCATCTTTTTGACCGAATAGTTTTCGGACATGTGCTTGAGATGATAAATGTAAGAGTAGACTCTGAGCAAGCCTTGGTGTACACTCGGTGCGCACTAGCGCAAGCTACCGAATTCGCTGTTAATTAAGACGCGTATTAACGAGGATTTTTAATTTACAAATTTATTCCCGCAGTTGATCAAGAAAAAGAGTTCGGAGCGAATTTCCTTGGCCGAGGTTAAGAGACATCCCTGGATCGTGGAGCACAAGAATTTGCGTAAACTAAAAGCCTAAACTTAAAAAGAATATTACTCTGTATCGACTTCACAACGTATATTTTATTAATTCTTTTGTACGATTTTTGTTGCAATATCAAATTAGACTCGCGTTACGGCCACTTCAAGTTAATACCCGTGACATCCAATGCGACAATGTCCACTTCGGTTTTGAGGAAGTCGCACAGGCTCGGCTTAGTCCTACCGAAATCTCCGTGCACGAATTCTTTTACGTATGTGCCCGCTTGCGTTCTCACGTCAAGAACGAAAAACGCGTCGGTACTCTCGGCGGCGGTACGCAGCAACTCCTTCAGTTCGTGCGGCTTCGCCCAGCGCGCGCGCATCTCGTACACGACGCGCGCTCGCGGACTCAGCGGCCGCCTGTGCAACACTCTCACTGGTGTCCTCTGAATAATTCTGACGTTTTTCAGTTGGTTCAAGTGCTCTAATTGCGGTAAACCGCCACTCGCGCCTCGACAGACGCACAGCGCTCGATAAAACTTGGTTTTAACGTTCTCACCTTCCTTGAGCTTCTTCAAATCGAGCCTGGAAGCGCGTATATATCGAAAATAATTTTATTTAATTAAAATTGTTTTAATTTAAATTACTTATTGACTATTCAACCTGACATCACGCTGTATTCTAATCTCGTTATTTCAGTTAGATTTTCAAGACGTACCTCGAGAGAACCTTTAGACTCGACGTTATTTGAACTTGCTTGGTCGACTGATTGATGCTATCGGTTAGACCCGCCAACAGCTCACTTGTGATATTCGTCATGCGAGGATTCAATAGCTCGACAGCGAATGGCCGGCCATCGTATATGTTCCTGACGTCGACGTCTTCTCTTCCTGACGATAAAAATTTTATCGCTGCGCGAACATAAACGTTTCATAGCTTTGTTGAAAAAAAAATCTATATATACCATAACAATGTGAGCAAATACAGTCAAAACGTACATTCCGCCCTCACAGTTTCCGCTATGGGATTGCAGAGCAGATCTTGCACCGAGGTCTCCACTTTCTTCTCGCCGTTTATGAACCATGGGGTCTGGCTGAGTTTCCTGGAGAGTTTATTGTAGCGCCCTGAAATTTTCAAGTTTTACAAGAAATCTGACGGCGCAATGTTTATCTCGGTGTCGCTCGAGTCGCGTCTGTACCTCCTATGAAGATGCTGCCGTGAGAGCATAAAATATTGTCAACACGAACGAACGTTTTCGACACGATTTGCGGGATCGTGAAGTGGCACATAAGTTGCTCATCCGTCATATCGATCAGCAAAATGTCAACGTTCTTCCTGCTCAGTTTGTTATCGTTGGATTTTCTCTTTTTCGGCTTACTGCCGCCTTTCTGTTTGTTTATCCTGTAAGTGAAAACGGAAAAAGTCCTCGATTTGTGCTTACAGAAAGTAATTTTCCCCAGTAAATGTCTTCTATGTCAGTAATAAACACAGTTTCATTTCAAATTGTATGGATTCTTAAAAGAAAAAAAGAATCTGTAATATTTACGATGGAATATCTACTTTTTCTAACACCCCATTTGTTTGCCTGCTATTGCTGGCTCTGATTGACTTGTGTAAAAAAAGTACCTACAATTTTTTAAATATTGCTTCATCGTCGACGTACGTCAGGAAGATCTCGATGAGAAAGGGCGACGGTGTCGACAGGTCAGCACGTTTTCCCATAGCCTGTTCGAGTTTGGGCATCATAAAAGATTTCCAAATATCTTTGACACTTTGCAGTCTTGCTTTAAGAGTGTTCAGGGTAGATTCATGAATGTCTATCTCCTTGGACATGTAAGCGTACAATATATGCTCCCTGAGCTTCATCGATACGGGAACAGTCAACGCGCAAGTGAAGGTCGTGCAATCGTAATTCTTCCCCTCCACCTTTTCCGCTATCTGCGTACAATCGAAGGTATTAACCGGGCGTCAGAAGTATCAAACTAAATAGATCATGTGTGGAGAGCTATGTATATACAGGGTGGTCCATTTTAATCGACAATCGGAAATATTTCGTCAGGTGAGCCAGATCGAGAAAAATGTTTCGGATAAAAGTTGTATGGTTTTGAGGCGGACGTAAGATGGTGTCATTAATTTAACCCTTAACAGTTGCTTGAAGGTCACGTGGTCGCCTTCAATTTTTTTTAACGGAACCCCCTATTGTTTATCGCACCATCTTATTCTACTAATTAATATGAATCACTTTTGTCCGAAACATTTTTTTATTTGCCTAATACTTTTTGAGATATTCAAGAGAAAATTGGTAACTTTTTCAATGTTTAGCTTATATTTCAATAAGTGTTTGTCGGAGGGTGAAGTAGTACAGGACTTTTTAGCTTGATTCGGTCTCAGGAATACGCTGTTGCAACAGTGCTCCAATTATTGAAAATTTTTTTGTACGTTACTGACAAAGTATTTCCAATTGTCGATTAAAATGGATCACCCCGTGCATTGTTAATGCCTTACTTTCGTAACTACGTTCTCCTGCGCCTTATCCTGAAGGACTCCTAAGCACACGATGCACGGTGCTTCTTCCGCAGAGGTATCGTCCCTTATATCGGCATAATTCGACTGTAAATATTAAATTACATTACAATTACTGTCAAGCCAGGTTTATCTTGGCAACGAGGCGACTTTTTCAAAATCTTTTTTTTATATAAATTGACAAATTTATCGCAACACCGTTTTCGCTTCGGATTTATCTGAATATCGTTACGACAGTGTCGATGCTGCAGAGTTAAACAAATCATTTATTGGGATTGACATCAAACTTTCAACTCTTAGGCCCGGCCCGACATATAGTTCTGACTTCTGACTGACGACTCATTGCAGACCGGGCCAGGGCCTTACCTGTCCCGCAAACTCGAAAGGATCGCAATAGCACTCCGGCGTACGGAATCCAGCGAGACGAAAGCAACATCTCAAGCAGCAGCCTTGCGACTTTAAGAAGTGGAGGATTTTTCTCTCTTCCTCCGTCGCTACGTTCATTTTGACTCGTAATTTGGCAGGCTCTTCGGTATCGCGTCTCGACACCTAAAATCGCAGAGCGACGTTCCGGGACCGCATAACCTCGAAAAGGCACTCGTGTCAACTGGTGCTCACTTTAACCTCAAAGAACCAATCGTTTTATTCTTCTATTTACACATTAAAAGGTTTGTTCTTTTCAACTGAACTATCTGCGCTAGTTCGGAGTTTATCTTTCTTCCGCCATATTAGAGAGAGCAGTCAGTCCAGTTAAAAAGAACAGACTGAGAACGTGATTCTCGCCGCGGCGAAGACTCGCAATGTAACCTCGAAAGTTTATTCGAACAGCTCGAAGGCTCGGCGTCCCGTCAACAAAAATCTCAAGAATACTCGAGGAACGTATTTGATAAACACACAATGAAGTACCACTTTTCTCTCATTGCTGTATCTTCTCTCGCATTTCTGAACGTGAATCACTGACGAAATTTTGGATCGTTGTCGCAACATTGCTACTTAAAAGGAATATAAACAAATAAAATATATTCTCAGTTAAGATGAGTGATATTTCACCAAGACATCGATAGAAATTTACACACGGTTTTGCGTTCTACAAATTTTCGCACAAAGTCCTTCAACAGTTTTCGATAACAGTTCTCCTTGGCAACAGCACTGAATAAGACTCGTGAAGTTTCTTCGAGCATATCGACAAGCACTCAAGTTCCTGCCGCGACAGCATATCCACGATTTTCGCGCGTAACTCTATGGGCAGGCTTTCCAAACTTGGACCCATTGAACTCGACGCTACCAGCATGTCTCTGCGCAAAGGCGTGACCAGCTTGTCCTTAAACCTGAAAGATTAATCCTTTAATAAATACACTATCAAGTAGACTAGACTACGAAAGCTGTTCAAGTGGTAGAATATTATTCTGTTAAATAGAAACGAGTGAACGTTTAGGTCTAAATTGCGACGTAGGGTGAAAATTTGTACTCAACTGATATTAGAAAGAAAGAAGAGATTTATAACATACAAACTAAGAAGTATACATAATTTTTAATACCATAACTTGTGACGTTCCACGTCTCGAAATACAGAAACTTGGGCCATACCTGTGCGATATCTCCTTGAGATTCATGTACCGCAGACACAAATTAGTCGTGTATGGGTTCACGTACTTCAACGTCTGTACAACCATGCTGTAGACCCTCTTCTCCTCAACGTGCGACAGCACGTTGAGTATCAATTTATCGCCGTAAGCTATTACGAACAGCTTCGAGCCAGCGCAATTGATGTCACGCAACGTCAAATATATCTCGTACACGCCCGTTTCTTGCGACTTCCAGTTCACAGGTATCTGAACTAATCTTGTATTTCGCTCCCTGCAAATAGAATGCAAGTCAATAAATAATCTAACGGCGCCTCGCGTCTCGCGGGTGGTGCGACTTGCCATTTCGGTGCGTCGGAGGCGGACGAGACGCTGAATCCGGATTCCGCCAACAGCACGAGCAGCAGGGCGACAAGATAATCGTGATGCTTCGTGCTCTCGTCCAACTGCTCCAACGCGGCGCTCAACGACAACGCTGTTGTGGAAAACGTGCTGTCCTCCGCCAATATCGGCTCGGATATGTCGACCGTCCTATTCGAGGAACGCAATCTCTCCATCTCTCGCGCAGCGACGATGACTATCGATTTGCCGCGCATATTTTATCACGCGGGTCGGTGGTGTCCGGCAACGTGCAAACAACGAAGAAATGAAAGCATCGGTTGCAAAGCAATGTGACCGCGTCAGTTTTAGAGAAATTTATTTTTCTACGGGTGTTATACGAGCCCCATGGATATGTGAACGTGATTATCACAATAGAAGCGAATCAATTAATCGTTCTTTGTATTATTTAGAATAGATTGATTTACTTATCGATGACTAACCAAATCTAATTTTTGATTGAAAAATTTGTCACTTTTTCTTAAATTGGTATACACAATAAGTTTGCATGTATAAGCGTAGACATTTCCCTCCTATCATTCCCGCAAAGTGATGTGCACTAACCTCGTTGAATAACAATAATACAATCTTTAGATCGTGCTGCATTGTAATTTTAATCGTTAGCTGATTAATCAATGCGTATCACCGGAGAGACGTTCGATAGTCCCTCCTTCCGCTGTAATAATAAAAATGCAAAAAAGAAAAAAAAATTGGGTGCCAACGTTACACGGTGTTCCCAAGCGGTCACCCATCCAAGTACTAACCGTGCCCAACGTTGCTTAACTTCAGTGATCGGACGAGAACTGGTGCTTGACAACGTGGTATGAACGTTGGCGAAAGATAGGCTCGTTGTGAGCTATTTTACCGGCATCACGATTCTGGGTCTGTTCGTTTTAGCTCAACTTTGTCGCGCCGTTCACCTTAGGCCTGTTCTTTACA